GTGAAAATTTTTTTTTTTGTGCAATCAAAATTTGTTTTGATGCAAGGATCAGACTTGGAGGCTCATGGTGTGTGCACGGACTGTCCAGATTAAGGGCGTTTGTCTCGGCTTGAAAGTATATTTGTCAAGATTTAGAATTCGTTCAGATTGGATTACTAACCGATAGAGAAGTTAAAGAAGGAGTCAGGAACTCCTTAGCTTCTGTTAGACATCTTCCTCTAAATAATCCCGCCCATTATTTAAGTGCTCTTTCTTTCAGGCAACTTATGGCAATGAACCCACAGGAGGGGCCCCGGCAGTCTTGAAGAAAAGTTGCTCTGGTGCGTCTGAAGGCGCAGGGAGCCCTCCAAGAGGTCTCGAAGTTCCAAAAGAAGTGGAAAGAAATTCGGTGCTTGTTTAGATTCATTTTTTTTCTATTGTTAATATTACTATTTGTTGTCATAGGCCAAGATGGTTCTTTTCGAGGTGTAGCTTGTCAGCATAATTTTTTGTGACATTTTTCTTTAGTAGACTGCTCACTTTGATATCTTTTTTGATGGCTGAGCTGCCCCAAATATATTTGCGGCTTGAAATATTTTCTTATTGTGTATGTGTTCTAGTCATTTAAAAGAAAAATAAATGCAAATATTTTTGAAGCAGCAAACTGTTCAGTCTTCTTCGCAATTTGTCCGTTGCTATGCTTTGGAACCAAAACGACCATGCGTGAAATTAGTTTCATAAGGATGTTTACAAATGTTTATATTCCTTTATCCCCGTCCCTACATGTACAATGATCTCTAAACTTGACGTAGCATGAGAGCACTTTCTCATAGCATTCCTGGCTGTTCTATTAAGTATATATGTCACAGATTCATTGTTCTGTTTTTCAGGTTTGTGCTCGCATTAGATAGGACAGTTCAAATTTTCCATACAAGTTTGGGGAACATTTTTGCATTGCAGGTAATTTTATGTTGCAAAGACTTGCATCAAGTTGCGCCTGCAAACTGTCAGGACATCCCTGTTTTGCATGTCACATATCAACTTTTTTAAGGAGAAGCTTGGCATGTGACATACAAAGCCCGGATGTACTCGTGAATAGCGGTAGTAGCATAAAATGGGGCGAGTACTATCACAAACAAGACTGAACTTTTTCCGTAAGTACAAGAAATGTAACCTGTGTCATTTTGGACGCATTGGAACTTGTGATGTACTTCGTAAAAATGGTACATGTTCTAGCATGGCTTGCAACCGAACATGTGCTGCTGTGTGGCATGATGGTACATTTCCTGTAGCATACACTACTTGTTCCGTGATGATGGTGTATGGAACTTATTGTGGCTGCCCATACAAGAACAATATGTCCCGTACTAAAGAAGTATGGAACATGTTCTGTAGTCCGGTAATACAGTACATGTTGTGGCAACAAGGTTAGCATGTATGTGTCCCATACTTTGACAGGAGTTTTTCTAACAGTGTAGGAGGCATTTGCCATCAAATCGAAAGCGCTCCCCATGGTTTGAGATGGACTTTCTCTTCAATTTAGGCTCTCTAGCCTATACACGACAAGTGCCCCTGGCAACCGGGTGGCACCTAGAGAAGTTACGGAAAAAACACATACGTGCGCCTGCATACACTAATATCCGGCCGACACAGGGTCCAAGGATGTCATGTCCGTCACGAGCTATCGTCTCTGTTAACTCGAGCCAGGGCGCGGAACACCAACCGTTCGACCGTTCGATGCCCGAGTCGCGCAAAACGCGCGACTCGGGCACCGAAACCAATTCCCGTGGAGTCGGCCCCTAATGCCGCCGTTCTTGTGGTAGAACTTTGCGCCCAAGTGCCGTCGTAACGAGCGACCTCGTCCCTTACCGAACGACGTCACTACGACGGTCTGTCGTCCGTTCGCGTCAAGTTACGTTTATTTACGCTGCGGCAGCCGATGGCTGTCTCGTCATTCTGTCGTGCGGGTCTGAAACGCGGCCGTTTGTATTTTAGAGCCTGCGCCCAGAGACGGTGCTGTCTCCCTCCGTCACTTCAGTCGGCGACGAGATCAGGACGGCAGGGACGAGCTTCACTTGCTACGCCTCCGGCGCGAGCTTCCTGCCCCCGACGACGCTTCAACATCTCGTGCACCTCGAGCGTGCGCATGCACGGCAGAGCCTACGGAAGGCACGGGACGAGTGCTGGAGGCCGGGTGTTCGAAAGACACGCCCCGCTGTTCTATCTCTGCCGGCGCCTACAGCTACTCGTACGAGCGTGAAAACGGAGGCCGTGTTCCAAATCTTCCTTGAAAGAATCCGAGCTACTCCGGCGGATCGTGTTACGTAACAACACAGACAGAGAAATGTGCGACGCTGTTAGGCTTTTGAACGCCAAGGCAAAGAACTGCGCAATGGGTTGAGATGGCGCAAATTTTGGAATGTGGTCAGAATGTGCGCACTGCGCTTTCGCGTCTCGGCAAAAACCGCCAGCTACGCTCGGCAAGAGCGACCCTGGACAATAGTGACAATGACCGAGTGACACATCACTCTCAGTAGCTTGTCTGGGGTCCGAACTCAATTACCACAAGCGAGATCTATTGATATTAAATGGAGGGCTAGTTGGTTAAACGTGATCTGAAAAAAGGCAAAGACTTAAGAAGAGAAGGGGACAGGACAGAGCGCTTACTTGCAAATTCGGTCCACTACCAGGACCAACCTCTAACAATGCTTCAATGTATTCATCAATGCATCGGGACCTGTCTTCTTCTGGTGCTTTGGCAGCTATGACATGAACAACAGACAACACATGAGCACCAACCCTTTCCCAAAGTTGTGCAAAACTTCGGACTGTTTTCTAGCGCTTTACTTATCTCTGCTGGAATTTTGCCGGCACGATATCCTAATAACAGACATGGTCCCAGGTACCGTGTTTTCTACTCAACGCGAGCCAGATGACGGAGTTACTTTGGGGATCATATATACAAATTAAAAAAAAAAAAACTTTACGCTCTCGGAACAGCGAGAGGATAGGCGAAGCTGTTACAATGTTGGGGAATGCTTTTCTTCCAGCAGAGATAAGTAAAGTGTTTGAAAATGGTCCCAAGTTTTGCAGACCTTCGAGAAAGGATTATGACACATATGTTGTCTCTTGTCTATGACATGGCTGCCAAAGCACCAGAAGAATACAGGTCCCGATGCATTGATGAATGTTTTGAAGCGTATTTAAAGGCTGGCCCTGGTAGTGAGCGGAAGTTACGAGTAAGCACGCTGTACTGTCTCCTTCTTCTCTTCCTAAACATCTGCGCTTTTTCACATCGAGCGAGATCTAATTTGGCTGTCGCGGAACGTGCAAAGATAGCATTCGTAGATAGTTTGTCCGCTAACACGAGCGAAGAATGCGGTTTGTCTGCTACGAAGCGCCATCCGCTGACGGAAATAAAACAAGAAAAACCCGTACGTCGTCTGCTAACAGACCAGCAGAAAAGATTATCTTCTGCCACTAACCGAAGGATGCTGCAAAGTAAGATTGAATGCAGAGTAGAATTGTAATCGTCTGCTATTTTACATTAAAGACCATTGACAACCCGCCCTTCGTTTGCAAGTCTCAAATTGTTCTGCTGCCGTACATAAGCTAACACCGAGTAGACAAGAAGTAATCGGAACCGTTTTTAGTGAACCCGAATACAGCAAAATATTGTCTATATTGAACACGAAAATAAAAAAAAAAATAATTAAAAAACAATTGCACGTCAAAAGTACCTTTATAACAACCGATCGAACTAAAATTCGGACTTCAAAAACGCGCAAGCACCCATCCCGTGTAAAAAGAAAATAGAAAATACACACACTAGTGCCCCCCAGTAAACGGACAGGAAAAAGCGAAGAAGGGATGCGTAAAGTTAAAGCTGCCCAAACAGAAAACAAAAAGAGCGACCACGAAAAGCGCAGAGAAACACACACAGACACAAAAAGCAGAAAACAAGTCAAGGTCAAGAAATTGTTGGGAGTAACTGTTGGGAGCAGTCTCCACTCGAAGTTTGCTTTTCTCCTCGCCCAGCGCTCTCCAATTGCTTAATGAAGAGTCGCGTCGGCTGCTTCCTAACCACAGCTTGCTCTACTTTGTTTGTTAGCTCTTTTTCATTTGACTTCCGCGTGCTAATCTGGTTTGCACAGGAAGTGGTAACCGTCTTTGCCATTTTTTCACAAGCTTGAAATGATTCCTTGGCGCAGAGTAGATTTTAGCGATCACCAAACTTCTGCCTGCGACCATGGGGCATTCACGACTAGACAGGCGGCGGCGCTCGCGTGCAACCAGTAATCCTTGCTGCGGCTCTCTTTTTTTCTTTGTGTACGGTTCCGCTGGTTTTGTTTAGACTCCGGCTTCACGGCAGCAAAATCACATTTCTTTCAAGGACACGATGGCCATATGCAGATTGTGGTTTTATGTGAAGACGAAAAAGCTTCACTAAAATGGCAAGATTTGTTTTTCGCGATCGCCTGGGTGTTTTTATTTTGTAAATGTCCTCGGAAAGTAAGCAGTTCAAGAGCTACTTTTTGTTCCATCTGTTACCTCGCCTAGAACGTTATCGGTTATTTGCGGGTCATAAATGTCGTTCGCGGCCCGCTGAATAATGCATTAATGTGTGTTTACCGTAGTGTCAAGAAAATAATTGCTCATTAGGAAGTCCCGGCCTCAAAATTTGCGGTAGGCCCGGTTTTAATATAGCGAATTACGGGATAATCGAACAAAAATGCGTGTACGACGGACTTCGTTATAAACGGGTTCGACTAAGAACAAACACATCAGAGGCAGCAAAGTCTTCTGTCCTTTTTGTATGCGCTGTTAAACATTTTCGCCAAAAATATGTGCCCGATTGTGAAGTCGCGATCAGTTCAAAAATGTATTGTTGGTTGATTACGCGCAAGCTGTGGCGCCACATCCAATCAGAGGCCGAGAACGTTCTCGCTTACAATGATCGGAATTGGACCCTAGGGAGTACTAGTCTCTTGGGTAAAAAGGCGGCATAGAGCCCCACTCACGTGACTGGGTCACGGTGTGCCTAAAAGAGCCCCACTTTCCGTCGCGGTAGACGTTCATGACCAGGTCACGTTCCACGAGCTCTTTGTGCTCCGAGCTGGCCGGCTGGAAGTTGGCCACTGGGTTTGCGCCGCCTTTGAGGCTGGCATTGAAGATGCACCTGGGGGGAAGACCACACTAAATTTAGGTGATCTACAGTTAAGTATGTCATGGTTCGGTAAACTGTTTTTAGGTCCACTATATGGTAAGGTAAAAGACAGCTAGGTCCAAGACAGTTACGTCAATGACAGCTAGGTCAAAGACGGTTAGGTCCAATGAAGAGGTTGAAGACGGTGAGGCCAAAGACAGTTTAAAGAGAGTTAGGTTCACGATGGTTGGTAAGAAGGCCGTTGGGTACACAATGGTTAGTTACATTACGGTTAAGTGCACTGCTCAACCCATCGTGAACATGACATCCACACTTTCTTGCGCATTACTTATACAGACTAGTGTCATGTACCAAACTGTATGTGCTGCGTTTCAGCTCCACTTAAGCATGTTTCAAAGGTAGAAGTCTCAATGACATTGTTGTTTCTATGTCAAAAAAGAGGAGACTTCCAACCCAACTGCCAGCTAACACTATGATTGATAAGACTGTGGTTAGGAACACTTAAGCAGTCTGTGGAACTCCAACGCACAACCGAAACCTATCTCGGATGTTTGCACACTGCCGGAACCGTTCCCATCCGCAACGTGGACTGCCCACCTGATGTGGTCTCCTCCAGTCTCCTGCCTGAGGCAGTTGGTGAGCCCGACGACCCCGCTGGTGCCCACGTCCTCGGCCACCAGCCAGACGTTCTCGCCCGCCGGCCTCGCCTGGTACTCAGTCGCCTTGGCTTTGAGCTCTTCCACCCAGCCGAACCCGCCGCTTCTGACCCGGATCACTGCCTGCTTTTCTTCACCGGCCGGAATCGCCGGCCACTTTCTGAACAGCAGGAGCGCAGACAAATTGTTGGACCGGAGGCCCACGAGCCGGAAGCCACGCTCCCCAAAGGCAGCCTCGACGGAGTCTCGAGAGTGCACCCGGAACGGCACCTTGCCCACAGTCGACAGGAACATCTCGGCGGGCGTGAGCGCGGTCCGCAGAGACAGCAGAACAAAGCCGCCCTCCCTCGACTGAGCCGCGAGCGCGTCTGCGAGCGTCTCCAGCGCGTTGCTGTCGGCTACGTAACGGGCTACGAAGAGGTCAGCCTCGGGAAGGGCGGCCTTCGATGAAGACGCCACGTCCCAGGCGACCTTCTTGGCGTCTTTTGGAACTTGCTCTGCCGTCAGAACATTCGGCTGCGGATGTGCGATTGTCAGGTCCGTCTTGAGGAGGATGTGGGACAGCGCGAGGAGGTTGGATACCCGGGGCGCCAGAAGGAAAAGCCCCGCATCCGCGGCCATCTCGAGGACTTTCAGCTTCTCAACGCCGGTGTTCTCGACGACCACGTCTAGAAGGTGCCGCAGTGGGTCCTCCTCCAGAAGGGCCGTGTTGAGGAGGTCCCTCTCGAGGTTTTCCTTGTAGGCCGACAGGGCCGACTGGACTGTGGCCACAAGAGAACCTGCCGAGTTTTTGGCCTCCTCCTGGACGCTGGCCAGGACGCGCAACAGCCCGTGGTTCTCGGCCAGGCTCTCCAGGTACTTGTGGAGGACCTGCTCGGGCGCCTCGCTGAACACGTTCATCATGTCGGAGATCTGAGCCTTGTTTTTGCCGCACGACTCGAGCACGCGGCGGGCAACGCCGCAGCAGACCTCGACGTACTCGCGTACCGCGGCCTCGCGCTGGCGGCCGGCCGACTCGTCGTCCAGGTACGGCACGAACTGGTATTCCTCCAGGAACGGCTCCTGCTGCACGGCCTGGAGGGGCGCCACGTCGACCTTGAGGCCTTTCATGATCACGCCGCCGGCACGGCAAACGTTGAGATGCTTCTCGTAGACCACATCCACCCCTGCTCGAGAAGCGTGAAAGGGGGAGGTCTTCGCTACTTCGCAAAAAGAGACCTCGAATAAATTTATAGTTTCTGAGACGGGCTGTACAGCCTAATGGTATTGGCAAGAATGGGTGCAGGAGTGTTTCACGATGTAGTGATCGCAATTTTTTCGTGTTTTCTCTCAGGAAGAGCATATATGCAAAGTACTATTGTTTTAGAAGGTTCTGTTTTAGGACACTAACCTATGTGGTAAAATTAGGTACCTACCAATAGCCCTAGAAGTAAAATATGAAATAGTGCTGATCTCGTGCTTAGGCTAACAGTGTTGCGAAGTGCATGTCGTGGGAACCCCTGTTTACCTTCCCCCGAGAAGGCGTAAGCCGCGAACGTTCCGACCGAAGTCGTCGGGCCACGAGCTTGATCGCTCCGTATTGCGTCGGGGAGAGTACGCCACCATATTAGCCTACCCTCCCGCACTCCGCCGCGCGTCTCTCGATTTCGGAGAACAAGCGAGATCACGTGACACTCGGGCCTTCCCTCCTTGAAGTGGACGGCCGTCTGCCGAGAGCTCTGGCCCAAACACCTACAACGACGGGTAGCGGCGTGAGCTCAACCCACAGGCGATGTCTCCGCTCGAATATCCCTTCGGCTCTCAGGTAGGCGGGCGCTGCGGGCACTCTGTGTCCACACCTCGATTGACCGCAGTGTCTTGTTGGCGACCTCTGTTTCCCAATAAACGCTGTTGGATACCGGGATCATCGTTGTTAGCATGGCGTTGGCGAAGCCGGCGCGGCGGCCGCCCTCACTAGTAGCTGTCGGCCGCGTGGTAGGACGGGCATCGGGCTCCCCTTTGAGCACCAGTCCCAGAACGAAAAGGTACGCAATCCTCCCCACAATGTATATGAAATTGGCTGGAGCTAGCCCCCCCCCCCCCCCTCCGCCCCTCCCCCGCCCCCAGTAGACCTGGTTATCTGCGTGCACCAAACTATTATATGTTGCACGGAGTGGTTGCACCGAGCAACTAGTCTTGAACAATAGATAGCATGAAGGACAGACAAGAACAAGAAGACGAGACTATACCACTAGTCCCATCTTAGAGTTCTTGTGCTTGTCTGCCCTTTGCGTTATCTGTTGTTCATAAGGTTCATCCAATGAGCCCACTTTAACGTTTGAGTAGAGCTGCCAGTGTAGCTGCAAGCTGCCGGTGTTGGACAAAGGTGTGCCAAGCTGCCAGTGTCGCACCGAGGCGTTGCACTGAGCTACGTCAGCGTCGTGCTGAGCCACGAACCTTGGTCTCCCACTGCGCCGACGGCCTTGGCATGGACTGCAGGGTCCACCTTGCAGGAGTAAATCCTGACGGGCAGGTTGAAAGAGCGCACGGGGTTGCTGAAAATGCTGAATTGCAGCATGGTGTCCAGGAAAGTCACCCAGTTGTCCTCCCACTTGAGTTTGCCGTAGGGGTCTGCATCAACGGGCACAAAATTGCATCCAATCAACGGAAGGGTAGAGGTTACCATTTAAAAAAAAAAGATTTGCACAAATCGAACAAGCATTTAATCTTAAAGGATCCTTCACACACTTGCGAGTGCTTGTGACCGAGTGCGTTCCAGCCTCTTGTGGTCTCCTGAGTGGACACACTGGTGCCATCTGGAAATCTTGTGATTCCTGTATAGTCTATTTTTTAACGCGTCACTCTTCTCTTGTTGGCTTGAAAACATTTTGGCAATGTTGTGAACGAGACTTTTTTTAGTGACAGTGTGTGTATTTGATCTCACCAATACCGAAAAACATTCGCTCAAGTGAAATGTATTATCGGCGAGATGTTTCGGTGGCGCCCTCGTTTGGTTACCTTTCGTGACGTCATTACCTTGTGAACAGCAAGTTCGATGGCGTTTGTAATGGCATGGTGGAAGCCTGAAATCATAGGGCTCTCAAAGCAACACTGCAAACACCATCAAAATTAAAGTTCTTACATTCCTTTTATTTCCGTCGATGGGAAATCCTTTGCTGACGTCACAGTCAGCATTCGGCCTATCGTGGAAGACCGATCACAGCGACGCTTTCGATCGCTCACGCCGCCATTTTCTACTGGCACCTCTTAGATGGTGCCGGCGTGTAAGTGTGTTCTGTCTTAAGATATCGCAAGGGGTCGTACTGGCCTTGGTCGCAAGCAGTCGCAAGTGCGTGAACCAGTCTTAACAATGAGCTAGGACCGGATAAGTGCCCTGCCCTTCACGAGTGCCCGAGGCACGCTCGTGGCAGGAAATCACCACACTCTAGGACTTACGCTGGATGGCGGCCTTCAAGATGCCCTGGAAGCTTCCAGAGTACTCGTACCCCCGGAGGCGCAGTTCCTTGTAGATGTCTTCGGTGTCGAGATCAAAGGTCACGGTCTCCGGGGGACCAAAGGGCACCCCGTAGTCCAGGAACTTCTGCCCGTTCTCGGCCAGAAAGATGCGGCCGCTCGCGGCCACCGTGCCGGCCTCGTACACCTCGAACTCGCCCGACACGCGCATCACGTTCACCTTGAGGTGCACTGAACCTACACAGCGACAAAAAAAAAAAAAAAGCGAGGTGTGAGAAATAAATATATAATTGGCTGCGGTACTTCGATTACGGTTACCATGGACACCACGAATCTTCGAGAGTTAAGAAACGTTAAGCAAATCTTTACATTTAAGCTTTAATGCTTCGATTATTGAACAGTGTTGTTCAAATTGTTCACAATGCAGATTCTTGTCTTTTTTATAGTTTTTTTTATGCGTAGTGCCGAGTGATAAATTATCTCTACTTCCGTCGAATATGGACACTGCTGCTGATGGACTGTATGAGGGCAGAGAGCTCCTCAAGCCGTCTAGCGCGTTTTGCTTCCTCAGTCCCCGCTGTTGAATTAAAACGGATATAAATTTGATCATTTATGATGCAAGGTGTATATACGTGCGTGGACACCAGATGCATCGCAGCTGCCTGATTAATTCTTCTTACTGTCTTGGTTGTAAGCGACGCCTCATCGGTCGCAGGCCACTTCAGTCAGTGCCCAGTCGTATCCCGTCTCGGCCTTGGTTTCCCACTTTCTCTACGGGAGACGCGTTTGTATTCAGGTCGTTTTGGGTGGGCCAGATGATTTAAAACTCGCCACTTGCCCTACACGTGTTGCTTAGAAATTGCTTTGTCATAGACCTGTTTCGTGCCTAAACGGCAGCAAGAGGAGTTGAATGTTCTTGCTGAACTTATGCACGCCTCGAAGTGAAAAAACCTCTGGGACGGGTGCTCGAGCCAGCGTCCACGGTGGTCCGAGCAGATGGGACGACCAGAAACTGCATGCATCTGGGGGCCGTAAGACTGAGGTACTTTTGTTTTTGTTTGTTGCTTTTACAGCGGAGCTGTTAAAGGCTAGGCTCCTGAGGATCATGTCCGGTATGTCAACACAAACCTACGCGCCATCTATAAGCGACAGCGGCAACCAGTCTGGTTGCCGCCGTCGCTTATTGATGGCGGCAACCTTTCCAGCTATCATAAAAGAATGGAAATAGCTGGGCGAGTTGGTGTGGATTCATCGTAGGAAACAGCGCGAAAAAAGACGAGGACGAAGAAGAAACGCACGTGACGAGCGCAGCGCACGTCACGTGTGTTTCTTCTTCGGCTCCGTCTGTTTGGCGCGCTGTTTCCTAAGCTCTTATCAGTTTCGGTTTGGACTCACAATGGGTCGGCCGCGTGTCCTTTTTTTCGGGGAAAGAAGACCGGGTGCGGAAGGAGCGGCGATGTACACAGCAGCGCGAATGGGTCCGCAATCGCCGCATGCGTCGAGCGCTTCAGATTTCCTTGCGAAAGAAAAGCAGATCGCTCGCGCGGAAAGCCACCGCTGAGAACATAAGCTACAGCTCCACTGCTCTTCCTTCTTCATCAGAGCGGAAAGGCTGAACGTTTTTTTTTTTTTCTGAATTACGCCGTCTGGCCGGTGTCGTCATCTCAAGCATAGACTGCTCAAGCACGGGCCAATAGGGAATATACACTGGACGCCATATTTAAGGCGATGTTTAGAGCGCATGCTCAGAACGACCTCCCGCTAATAGGCTCCTAAGCCTGGCTATCTTGATGGTGCGCAATGCCCATTGCAGAAGGACTGTGGAAGCTCGCCGTCAGCACACGCTTGGCAGTCGCGCTGACTATGGCCGCCTGTGAATACTCCCTATAGGACTATCGGGTGGATTGTATCGAATCATTCGCCGCGCTGTGTGTACTCAGCTAAAGAGTATCTTGCACCAATAAAACCACCATATGCAGAATTGCAATGTAAGAAAAACGGGAGCATTTGTTCTGTTGCCACACTGGGAGTAACCATGTAACGTGCAAAATAGGACGGGCCGAGTCATACAAGACAGAACGATGTAAAAAACCTAATTTCCAGGAGCAGCAAAGTATCGGAAATCTTGCCACTTCTAAATGCTGCAAAATATTGATTGCACGAATATATGAGCCCCTCCTAACAAATCCATAGCGTATCACTCTAAATCGCGAAATGCAGTGCCTGAAAAAAATTTCTGAAACCCGCTCTTATCGAACTTTCTGGAATAATAGACCCGTAAAAATATAGTTGTTTATTGACGAAGCGATCCAGGACAGACCGGAGAGTGCTGCAGTTGAATCCTGCTGCAAAAAAATTGACGTGACACGAGAAAGAAAAATTTGATTTTAAATTACCGTTCCGCGGATAAAAGGGCGTAGCACGGAGGCTTACGAATGTCGGCGGCACATATTTCGGCGGAGATTTCGAGCGGAAAGTGGCGATGTATCTCGGTGTTGCATCGCGGCGTGGACGTACCGTTCTTGGGAAAGATGGTGGCCCTGTGCAGGGTGACGTCCTCGAAGACGACGGGCACCTGATTGTAAGGCTTGCCCGACCGCTTGGCCAGAGACTTCCAGGCCAACACCATGTACCCCGTTGCCGGGAACAGCACCCGCCCGTCAATTTGGTTCCCCGCTAAGTAGCAGCTGTTCTCCTTGGCCGCCAGGTCAAACTCTTCCCCGTCCTCGGGAACCTGTGGGACGGGAAGGACGAAATTAATTTCTGCCCGCGAACGAAATCTACGTGGCACACTCCGAGAAAACGGCTGCCGAATCGCGGTCGGTCGGAAGGCGACGCATGCATTTGGAACGGACCGAATACGGTGTGCGGTCTTGGGACCGCTTACGAGAGAACAGACTGGTGTATTTCGTCGGGTAGTCTTGACATACCTGCGATTTGAGCATAGTTACTAATTTTTTATGCACATCATTCTTTCACTGTGGGCTTTACAAACTTTTGACCATGTTACAAATGACCACTTCTCATAGACAATGATACATGCATTTGATCCGTCACATATAACAAAACCTTCACTATAGTAAATGAAGTTCCAGGTCTACCTCCTAGAAGGTATACCTGGAACCTTCTATGAGGTTTTAAGTCTACCTGTTCTTTCGCCACAGCACACAGCCTTAACGCCGTTGTGGACGGCCGGATTTTACCAGCTTAGTTCGCCGTACGACGATTCTGCGCCCAGTGGAGAGTGCCGGCGACGTGCCCCCGCATTTTCTGCCTCGAGTTCTCCACAGAAAAAACCGCACACCTAATTTGAATTCCCTCGAGCCACCGGTCCACGAGGTACGCAGGCTGGACACGTCCTCGCCCACAAAGCCGCCCGACCGTCTGAAATGCATTTTCGACTCGTCGCTTGCCTTCGTGCAGGCAGCGAGCCTTCCCGCGCACATAAAACTCTGTTTTCCTTTCTACGTCTCTCTCTGCCCATCTTCCCTGCACCACCATTTTATATGACTTGCAGGGTACTTACGAAATTGATTTTCTTGAATTAGATAACTTTACCGGGTTTATGCCGAGTATTTTGATAAAACACCCCGATCATATACGAATGTGCAGAAGATGGGGTTTCGGAGGATGTTCGTACTGTTCCTATTTATTCCAGCGAGTCGGGTGGTGGCTGAAGATGCACAGTATTACCTCGGGCAACTGTCGCAAGGCGCGAAGGTCATCCGTGCCACCGCAAGCAACACCATCCTTCTTTGTTGCATGTTGCTGCGCCGCCTTCGTCGATTACTTTTTCCGAATTAACCAATTTTCGAATGATTTTCCTGACAAATCCCAGACTTTTCCGGAAGCTTCAAAATTCGCTGACAATTTCAGGTTTTTCAGGTTAAATAGACACCCTATACAGCCAAGCGAAACAGCAGCTCATTTAATTTTCACATAAATAAAACTTTTCGAAAACAACAGGGAGCAGAAGTCTACACAAGGTGTTTGGTTGTAACCAGACGCAAGTGCGTAGACCGGCCTTTCCCCTGCGGCCCCGGCGGGCCTTGCAGCCACACTCACCTGTGCCGAGGGGAAGAAGTCCTTGTAGGTGACCACCGACCAAGACTGCGAGTGGTCCCAGCTGACCAGGTGGGACACGTTGGGCGTACCTCGGGGCACGGGCCACGGCACCCGGGGGAACAGGGGCTCCAGCTGCAGGGGCACCCCGTGGGCGTGCAGCTTGCCCAGCGAGGTCAGGAAGAAGGCCGGCACGTCCGGCACGTCCCGCTTCATCAGGCCCAGGCACGTCGCCTGCAGAACACACGGGCGGGCATGGTGACCTCTCCGCCGCCGCAATCATGCGCCGACGTTGTTACGTTTTTTGGGGGGAATACAACGGCCGTTATTTTTGAGCTCGGACGAAACAAGCGCAACCATACCCTGCGAGAGAAAAGTGCGGGACGTGCACCGCGGAAAGGCTGGTTGAAACACTTGCGACTGCCTACGACTGAGTGCGTTACGCCCTCTTGGAATCTCGCGACGAGGCAGCACACTAGCACCATCTATAGGGCAGCAGGAAAACATCCAATATTTCTGGTTTTACGCATATTTTAGAGCGCAGCTCTTAGGCGCCCGTTTCCGGCTTCAGCGGCGTCGCCGTCGCCGTAACCGTGAGGTCACGTGACCCCGGTGGCGTCCCGTGACCCCCGGGAGGTCACATGATCCTCGTGACGTCACGAGGGTCACGTGACCTCACGGTTACGCCGACGGCTACGGCGACGCCGCTTGGAGGGAGGAGTAGCAAGCAGGATGAGGAGGTGAGGAGGAGGGAAGAGGGGTATACCCTCTAATCAGTACCCTTCCCTCCTCCTCCTCCTCAAGAGCTGCGCTCTAATTCGGCGTTACAGGGAGTTGTAAACGGCCTTTGTTTTTTTATTTTTGGCTTGAAAAACTTTGACAATGTTATAAACGACCATATATCGTTTAGTATGTACATTAGATCCAGAAAATACTGCAAAACCTTGCCCTTAGTAAAATGCAGCTCCAAGGTCACGTCATAGATCGCAAGAGGTCTCGATAGACTCGGTCGTAAGCAGTCGCAAATAAGTGAACTAGCTTTAAATATTATTTGTTTTCTGGATGCTCCTGTGCAAAAACGTTTCGGTCATTGTGAATTGATAGGTTCACATTTCTATCAATGCGAATGTGTTCACGTTTCTATTAATGCGAATACAATCATAGAAATAAAGAATGTGCAGGCGAGCCAGTGAACTTTCGACATCTTAAACACCCGTGACATCTTAGGAAAACAAAGTGGACACCACACAAGCAAGTTTGTTGTTAAATATTTTGTTTGCAAGTCTCGGTTGTTCAATATCAAGCGAATACAATGCTTGGGGACAAAGAAAGTCGGGCAGACATCTCGTAGATTAAAGAAAGAAACCCACCTCCGGTCCCAGGGCTCGGCGCAGGATGGCCTGCAGCAGGCAGTGCGGCGCAATCTCGACCACAATGGCATCTTTCGGCACGTGCTCCAGGGCCTCCCGGAACAGGACGGGCGAGAGCATGTTGTTCACGTGGTAGGCCGCCGAGCACTTCCGGGCCAGCGGCTCCCGCCAGCGACTCTGCGGCACCGACGAGCTGATCCAGCGCACCGTCCGGGGGCGGGCCTCGGGGATCACCTAAGAGGGGGCGGGCACCGTCAACCTTGACGTGACGATAGCCCCGCTTGCGGCGGTGCACGCGGGCGCCTTGGGAAGTGGAATGGCGCAACGTCGGAAAGCGTGCGAGACGGTTCGCCCCTTTTTTTGTTAGGCAACAAACTCGGTGGGGCCGTCCATTCTATAGCCCCGGCACACTGCAGGTTCTTGCATATTTCCTAATCTTTTAAGCGCCATTCTTTCACCGTAAGGGTGAATCACATTTGCCAGTGCTCGAAGCGACCATTTTTGCCGTGACAAGGTATAGATTTGTTTTTGTAAACACTGCAAAACTTTGTAATAATAATAATAGCTTTATTTCCAACAATGAGGTACAGTGTTCGTGGGGGCTTGGGGAGAAAAGCTGTTAAAACAGCTTGACTGGTCCCGAGGCCCCAGAAGTCAGGAGTGGAAAAAAACGTCAACAGAAAAATGATACATCAACGAGATGTTCAAAACAGAAAAGCCACAGTAGCAATAGTATAGATATAACAGAAAATGAACATATAATTATGCCACTCACATTTGATCAGTTTGGCTAAGAATTATTATGTTCCTAAGGTTATCTGCAGATATATTTTCAAGCTCGGTGTGTTGCGCACAAAAATAGTTGAGGGTGGTTAGGAGAGTAAACGCCGCGGTTTGAAGGCCGTAATTAGTTCTCAAAATAGGGACTTCCCAAGGTTCTGTGACTCTCTTGGATATGTATATACTTTTCCTTTTAAGTCAGCTAAGCTCACGAGATGTGGTACAGTCATACTCATTTCAGCTTTATATTTAACACATAGGCGATATCGATACAAGTTAAAAATGTTTACTACATCTAGCTGGCTAAATTAGTTTTCCGTTGGAAATGCCGGTGAAACATTGCAAATGCTTCGTAGTATCTTTTTTCTCTGTAATAAAAATATATTTTGTAGTTTTGTATGAGTGGTTGTTCCCCAAACTGAATGGACATAATTAATTTGTCAGTAAAATAGCGAGTTATATATTAGGAACTTTATTCTAAAAGGCAAAATATGTTTTTGACGATACGCCCAGCCAGCAATGCTTGGACTGTTCGAGGGTTATTTGCACACCGGCGCCGACGTGTTTCAACTGGCGCGAGAACGAATGAATAGCCTGTTGCAGGTTAACCCCTTGACAGTCAAACGTTTTCACCGGCCGCATCTCATGCCAGGGTATTTCCTGCAAGTTGGATGCAAATGTCTGTGCAAGTAACGCAGTGGCTCAGAAATATACAGGAAGAAAATATGGAGACGTCGCCCTGTCTATCTTCTGTTCACTCTGCATTTTTTATGTTTCTCTTCTACCCCACTCTCGTGTTGATCCAACGCAGTAGCATGCTTTATAATATATGCTCGCTTGTCAATTACGCGCTTAATTATTGGCACTGCGTTAATTGAAGTCTGCGTGCCTTCAACCGACGACAATTTTCTTCTGCTGTTCTTTTAGAGACAATGAAAAATGACACCTCTACCTCGCAACCTGAGGGCACTCTTTTTCGACGGCCACTCGGCGTTAAAGAGGAAGTTGCAGTTCATTCAGAACCACAGACCGCAACTTCCTCATTATGAGTCTTCGGATTCAAAATTAATTTCTAATTTATACTTATCTGTGTGTTTGCCATGGAGCGCGAGGTTCGACGGCAAAGATTCCTCGTTCTGGAATGACGAAGAAACAAACTGGAAACAGAAGTTGCCTAGATTTCTGTCGTGTATTCAAGTTCTCCCGCCCCGGTCCTCACCGAGGAGTCACGTATATTGGGGTTCCCCCAGACTTGTACATGATACTGAAAAATGTAACCTATTACAACTACAGTTACTTCACTGTAAAAAGTAACCGATTACAATTACAATTCCAGCCTCGAAAATGTAATCGAAAAATTACTTTAAAGTAGTCGATTACTTTCCACGTCGATTACGGTAGCATAATCCTTGGAAGTCTCGCGCTCGGTTGTTCCGAAAAAAAAAAAGCTTGACCATTTTTGCTTAGAGCTGAGTGAGTGACGCTAACACACCCAATCCCTCTCGTAAAAAAAAAAAGTAAAAAAAGAGCGCCGTGTAAATATATTACTCACGAGAGGCTGGATAAGGTCATATTTTATACCCGACTTAATGTCCAATGTACCCCCCCCCCCCCCAAAAAAAAAAAAAAAGAAAAAAATGTACTAAGGAAACGAAGCATATAAAGTGGCCTACGTATCCTCGAAATCTCGTGCTTAATAATTTCAAAAAAAAAAAAAAAGGTTGACGTTTGTTTAGAGCTGAGTGACTCCAGCACATCGACCTCTCCCCCACCCCTCCCCCCCTCCCCCCCTCCCAAAAAAAAATATTGAGAAAAATTGTAGTCGGTAATTTTTATAATTGATTAGGGGGGCAAAAAGTAAGATCGTTACTCTTTAAAAGAAGTAATTGAGGCTTTACAAAATTACAGTAAAATGTAATGGATTACAAGTAATCCATTACCTGTAACGCGTTACGTGCAAGTCTGGGTTCCCCCGAGTTGCACCAGATGGGACCACGCGTCCGGAGAACAACGAACCGGGCGCGTGTCAGGCTTGTCAGGTCACTTGAAAAATGTAATGGATTACAATTACAAATTGCCGAGCCTCAAATGCAATGGATTACCGTTACAAATTACTTCCGTTGAAAAGTAATGGATTACTTTACTCGTTACGTTACAAATTACTTTCACGTTACTTTTTCCGTACACTTATCCAAAAAAACAATAAAAACAATTTTGATATTAAAAGAAGTGAAAGCCGCTTACAACTCCCTGTAAAGCCGAATTGGAGCGCAGCTCTTGAGGAGGAGGAGTGAAGGGTACTGAGGGGAGGGTAGACCCCTCCTCCTCCTTCTCCTCCCCTCATTCTTGAATATGCTCCGGGGGGGTCACCTGACCGCAGGGGGGGGGGGGGGCGGGAGGGGGGGTCACGTTACCTCGGGGAGGGGGTCACGTGACTTGGGGAGTCACGTGAATTCGGGGGGGGGGGGAGAGGGGGTCACGTGACTTGGGGAGTAACGTGACCTTGGGGGGTCACGTGACCTCGCGGTTACGCCGACGGCGACGGCAACGCCGATCAAGCCGGAAACGGGCGCCTAAGAGCTGCGCTCTAAAATATGTTCTGCAACACTACTTTTTAGTTCTCATACGCCTGTAGTATGGTAGTGCTTGAAAAAAGAAAATATTGTATTTAAGAGAAAGACTGTAAGTGCACGCAGTTCACCTGTAAGCTGACAAGGCACCGAAAGCTGCAACCACCCGCCATCCTGCAAGCTTACGCCTTCAAAAATGATCCCTGGAATTGTGCAGACAGAGCTGGCGGTGCGCATGCTCAGTAGCAGCATCTACCTCTGCTACGGGATTCCGAGCTAAAGAAGCGATCTATGAAAGCTCCCTTTTGTCTCGGGTGTTTCGCCTTTTATCCACAAGAAAAGAAAAACCTGGTTCTAACTAGGGATGCCGCGAACTTTTTTCGAATCGAAGTTTCGATGATCGAATCAAGCGGTTCGAAAGGTTCGAAAGATTTCGATTTTTCGAATTGTCTATATCGTAAAATTCGACAGAGGTCGAATTTTCGAACTTGTTAAGCTAAGAAGTTCGACGCTTTTCGAACCGTCGAACTTATTACGCTAAAAAATTCGATCGTTTTCGAACTTTCGAACTTATTGCGCTGCATGGTTCGATGCTTGTCGAACTTTCGAACTTGACTGACCAAAAAGTTCGATACATTTCGAACTTTCGAACTTATTTATCAAGAAAATTCGAAAAGGTTCGAACTTTCGAATTCTGAAAAGTCAGAAGTTCGACGAACTTCGAACTTATAGGGTAAAAGTTCGACGTTCGTCGAACTTCGAAAGACCGGCGGACGGTTTCATTTGATTTCAAGTAGTGGGGTACATTCGTAATTTTTTTGCTCGAACTTTTACACGCGGTGCTGCGTTCCTTACGAAAGACAATGTCATTTATTTCAATGTTCTGGCATGCTTAGGTTTAAAGAAATAAATCCCCGAAGGGGCGAGGACGGACGACGGGTTTTTGACGATTATCGTTTGTGCCAGATTTGAAGCACGCTGCAGCCGGAGCTATTTGTGGTAGATATGTTATACTTTTTTTTAAGAATGATCTATGTATAGCGTAGGTAAGTGCCGTCTTAAGATGTGATTATTGTTGTTCAACGTGAGTTTCGAAGAAATGTCCAAACATGTATCTGCATGCAATTATGACCTAAACTTGATATTTATTTTTGTCTAAGTTGTTTGAGGTATCGCATTGAAATTAACACCACAGGCAGTACATATCATTGCCATCTGCAGAATACAAAATAATATATTTATTGTTTTTTCACGTTAAGGAATAAATTAACTCATGGCAGCAGATTTCTAGTAGTGTTTAAGTTCAGCACGTCATTAAAAGAAAACTTTTTTTTTTTTTTTCGCTTCACGTTCCTGGGACGTGTTTCTTTTAGCCTGTACACATTTTGGTAAAAGAAACTTGTTTCGAAGTTCTGAACCTCTGAATATGCAAGAATAGAACACTTCCGACGAATTCTTGATAGTTTTTTTTTTTTCTCCTGCTTTTTATTCCCGCATTTATACTTTCTTTTTTTTCTTTTGTTACTATCGGCACAGGTGTTTAGGTCGAAAAGACAGCTTTGAACGTCCGAACCACTAAGCATGTGACGAGCAGTGCCTTCTGACAACGCGTTTCTAACAATGACCATCTACGCAACCTTTTATGCAGTGAAGAGCGACAGTAGCTATACATATGCATAAATAATTTCAGATTAAAATAAGCTCGACCACGCCCTCTTTCCCCGTATTGTTTTCTTTAACAGTCCGAAATACCTGCAAGGGGAAAAAAAAAGCTGAAGCCCCCCCCCCCCCCCCCCCCCCCCACCTCCCGCTACCCTCTTTCCCCCCGTTTTTCCTCTTCCGACGCCACTTGTATGGTAGAACGCTCATCGACCTCGAGTTGTG